AAGTCCTGGACCACAAGCCTGGAATTTGTCCAGGGGCAGAGTAAGGATCACTGCCCTGGAGAAGTTTCAGTGGGACTGCCTTCCCCTCAAATGTCAAGTCAGCAACACTAAAAATGTGATTTCATAAGTCACCATGTCAGAGCTGTGCCACAAATATGCTTGAAAAATAGAGGAGAATAGAAAGCAAAAAGTGAAAGAGGAGAGGGAAGGGACTTAACAAGCTGCCAGAGACTTTAAAACAGTGAGCAGAATGTTTATCTTTCCCATAAACCATGAAGGCTGTTCATTTCTGAGAGGTAGCAGACACTATTCATAATACTGAGCAGTGACGTTTCAGCTGACTAAAGCCGGGCGTGGTGGTGCACGCCTTTAATCCCAGCACTCGGGAGGCAGAGGCAGGCAGGTATCTGTGAGTTCAAGGCCGGCCTGGTCTACATAGTGAGTTCCAGGAAAGCTGGGGCTACAAAGAGACCCTGTAAAAAAAAAAAAAAAAAAAAAAAAAAGGGGGGGGGATACTATTCAAATATGTGAGTTGCTGAAGTTCCCCTAAAGCTACTGAAAATATTAAAATGATAACAGGGGCAGTCAGTGCCCACCAAAGGAGACAGTCACAACAATATCCAGGAAAAGGTCAGAAGAGTCAGGAGCAACTTTGACCTGGTTGTTTGATGATTACGTTAGAAAGATTAATCTTATGAGTAGCTATAACATTTATCATGTATAATAAAGATGTACTTCTGTGGCTCTCCATTTCCTTCACGTTTACATGAAACTGTTCCAAACACCAAGCCACAGTCTTGAATACTCTTGTGTTTGTTTAGTTGTTAGAAAATAAGATTTCTATTGTATCTGCCTTTGTTTTTCAATTACAAATAATTAGGGAGACTCTGAAGCTCTTTCCATATCTTAATCAAGTATGACAGGATAAATGCTATCAGCTCCAAAGATGCCTTGCAGGAATGATTTGCTTATGGAGCACAGGCGACCCTGTCTTTGTATCACACTAGCAGCAAACTTTGCAGGAACAATTCCAAGTGTTGTTGGGTAACTGACAGGCCTCCCAGGTAAGCATCAACCCCACTGATACAATGGTCATCCTTATTGGACCTGAATCTTTCTCGGGTCCTTTGGCAAAATGAAGCTAGAGGTTGACAGTTCCTACTGCAGAAATACTACAACTGAATCTGTCACATGTTACATTCTGGGGATAAGTTTGTCTTTTTTAAATGCTTTTTAAATTTTTTTAAGAGGCACTATAATATCTGTATTTATCTGTACTTATACATTATTATAATGGTGAGCATTTCCATTTTTCTTTCATTTGAGTTCTAGACTCATGGGTTAGGAAAAATTCATCTAGTATATAATTACATAACCAAATTAAAATTAAACAATCAATGCCACATTGAAACCAGAGCCCAGGCAATGCATTCTTTTCTAGAACAAAGTATAGGGGCCCATCACTAAGACAAGCTTTAAAACTATATTAGATATATACTTGTATTATATCTAAAAACGTGTTCCAGTTTGCTTTTCTATTGCTGTGATAAAACACTAACCAGAATCAACTTGGAGAAGAAAGGGTTTATTTCATCTTATACTTCATATTCCATCATAGAGGGAAGCCAAGGAAGGAACTTAAGGCAGGAATCTGGAGGCAGGAACTGAAGCAGAGACCCTGGAGTAATGCTGCTTACTGGCTTGCTCTCTCTCGCTTACTCAGTCACCTCTTTTATTTTATTTTATTTTTTTACAGCCCAGGCCGCCTTACTCAGGGATAGTATTACCCACAGTGGACTGGGTCCTGCCACATCAATCAGCAATCAAGAAAATTCCCCACAGAAATGACTATAGGCCAATCAGATAGAGGAAATTCCTCCTTTGAAATTCCCTCTTCTCAGGTATGTTTAGGTTTGTGTCAAGTTGACAAAAACTATGACAATTACTCATGCTGTGTTGAAAAACACATTGGCAAATTTTGGATCTTAGAGGGATTCTGGGTTTCTCCATGGTGCTGGTTTACTTTCACTGAGCTCCATAGTTTTTTACTCATCTAGAAGGTGGGACAATAAAGAAGAAGAAGAGAGTCAATTTTGCAGAATATCATCTCCAGCTATTATCAAAGTTCAGTTGAGCATTTCAATAGACCACATCTGTCTTTCCATATTTCACAACTGAAATCTATTTCATGTGATGCTATTTGGAGGTGAGGTCTTCAGGAAGTGGGTAGGTCAAGAGGACAGACCCACCATGAATGAAACTAATGTTGATATAAAAGAGACCCCCCCCACTCCTCTATTTATTATCTATTGAATTCTAATTGGGATTGAAAAAAACATTTTAATCCACAGTTATTTATTACAAGTGTGAATGTGATACACCCAGAAAGCAAATGGACTCCTTTGGGCCATGAGACCTGGGTTTAAATTATTTATGTGTATGAATGTTTTGCCTACATGTATGTAGGTGTAGCATATGAATGCAACGCCCACAGAGGCCAAAAGAGGTTATTAAATCCTCTGAAATTGGAATTACAGGTGGTTGTTAGCTACCATGTGGGTGCTGGGAACCAAACCTGGGTTCTCTGCAAGAACATCCAGTGCTCTTAACCACTAAGCCATCTCTCCAGTCCCCCTCCCTCGCCCTGGTCTGGGTTTTAATTTGTATATCCTCACATTATTTTTCTTTCTGTTTATTTGAATACTACTGTTCAATGGGAGAAAATGGAACTATTTATGAGGTTGAGCTAACAAATTTCTAATTCTCTTCAGTGGTGTTAGTGTTTTCATTATATTTGACCATTAGAAAGTTGAAGGAATTTCCGTGAACCAGAAAATGATGACAAATTCCTCAAGACAGCCAGAAGACTTTCTCTTCACTGCTGATTCTGTGTTTAGCCAGTGATTACAATAACTCTGAGCTCTTCTCATTTTCTTCATTGCTGGTCATAATGTAGAATTGCAAGAACGTTTTTTTCCCTTCAAAAGAGGATCACTACTGTGGTAAAGCCATCATTTTGCAGAAAGACCACTTTGTGAGCCTTTGCACGACTTTCCCTAAGACTTTAAGTTCTATAACCAGGCAAAAAACCTCCAACATTCAGAATCTGGGAAGTATTTCTGTTTCTACTGGTTGCTACCAGATTAAGTGACTAAATCAGATTAAAGCTATTTATTGCTTGGGAGTATTCCTTGACTCACAACCATCCGGAGATGCTTTAGGAAACATTCCCCAATACAGCCTTTCATTTAGGAACTGTTTATTTTATACTTCTTCCAAAATAGGAGAAAAAAAGAGCTACAGAAAAAAAGGGGGACCAATGATCTCCAATATTCCTAATTTATTCTTCATTGAAATAGGTCCTTATGCAGTGACTAGGTGAGGACAACATTTGTCAGTCGATCAGAAAGTGCTCTGCATATTTAGCGTCTCCTGATTCTGTGTTTATACGCAATGAGTGCATCAGCTGTAAAGCTGAATTTAAATGAGGATAAACAACAAAACAAACCTCCAAGGAAAAAGGGAGGGCGGGGAATGAAGCCACTCCGAGTGCCACTAAAGATGCATCTGTTTGTCATCACCCAGGCCCACAGGATGACTCATGAGCTTTTTGTGAAGACAATGTCCATTGTTGTGGCAAAATTAAATGTATTTTGATACTTGCATGCAATGTTTATCTGTCTGCTCAATCAGAAAAAGTTATCCTCATCACTCTAACACATATTACTTTTTCAATTTCCTGTGAGTAATGTTTTCTTAATGTTCTTTAGGGTGCAACCACAGAATTTCTCATTTCTCACAACAAAGACTGCAACTCATTAGAATTATGCTGATGAGCTTTTCTCATAAAATTGCAGCCCCATTTTCATGGTTGGCCAGTCTGCACCCATACCCCAATGACCAGGACCTAGTTTTTGACAACCAGTGGTTGCTTCCCAGAGTTTTCTTATTCCTACTTTAAATGTCCCTCAATAATATGCACATTTAGTTACTCTAGCACTTCATATTTGTCATCAGGGAAGTGTGATTTATTATTGTTAATAAATCACTAACAATGATTTTCTGACTGTCCTGTTCTAAGTCCAGCGATTTATAATTTATGCTAATAGCATGAATTTTGGAATTTTTAATTTCAAAAGTTAGTTTTGAAGAATACCCTTCTCACTTCTTGCCAGTCTTGCCAGATGTAATAATTTATAAACTATACATATATATTATTACAATAATAGAGACACTGATATAATACTTAACATAAAAAATTGAGAGACTTGGTTGCAAAACCAACAACATAATCAATAACCCAGAGTTGAAAAATAATACTTCTAAAAATGCAGACCATTTCTAACAATGTCAGATCAGGCTTGATTTTGGAGAAGACGAAGCTCTCGGTATCTTCTGACATATCTAGGGTCTTCATAGTAGGAGCAGGTCTAAGTTTGCAAAACCATTCCATACTAGGCAGTGCTATGTGATCTTGTGGTCTCAATATCAAATTGAGTTTTCTGAGTCCTGACCTGTATAACATGTCATCACTTTTTGTGTTTACTTAGGTAATCTGTGTATCATGCTTTAAACATGAATATCCTTCCTCTCAAAGGTACCATCTTTTATAGTATAAACCTAAATAGTTCTTTTGTAGCTTAATGATCCTGAGAAGATTCTCACATTTAAAAGCCTTCCATTTTTAACTTCCATTTTTAACTAATTAAAATTCTTTGTGAATTTCAAGCAGACTTTTGTAGCTGTATAAATCTCTCCTTACTTTGGATTATCAAGGAAAGCTGACCAAAACGACTTGCAGATATAATGAGGGAAGCGGAGGGGTGTTTTTATTCTAGGGCATTAGTGGAAAGCAAGAGAACTTAAAGGAACCCAGAAGTTAATATCTTTCTCTGGTCCCACCTTTGGTTAAATTAAATACATTTTGTGATGGAGAAAAGCCATGCTGTCCAGCAGCCTGTAGTCATGTTGGGGAAGCAGGCCAGAATGAATCACCTCACCTGCTGCTGTGTTAATCTTGAGATGACAGGGTTGCCCATCTTGTTAATGGTGTGGACAACAGACCCCAAATTGCCACAGGGGCCTTTCCTGCGTGTTGGACGAATAGTGGTTTCAGGACAGATATGGTCAAAGGAAAAGGTGGAGCAGGGCATGCTTGAGACTTACATAGTAAATGACTCGCTATGTGAGGCCCAAGTGTTTGGCATCCTTTATTATGTTCATTCTTTACATTAACTGAAAAATGTTAAAGGAACCCAAAGAAAACTAAGCAATCGATAACTGCCTTTTTGATTTGATAAGGTAATACTGGATGGCACGTTAAAGCATTTCCACATAAAACTTTAATATATGAAATAGGCCTTATAGACTAGCCACCCTTAGAGGATTTGGTGCACACACACATTTGTGGAATTCCTCCTACATGGCAGGTTCTGTATTAGGCATTTATACTAGGCATTTAGATATGTTTACAGCAACTTTGCCCAAAGGAAATCTGGGCTTTGAGAAGCAGTAACATCTGGGTTTAAATCTAGGCTCTTTGATTCATTCTGTGGTTCTGGAAAGTGGGTTAACTTTTCCAAGCCTCTAGTTCACCCATCAGTTGTGAATTGGATTAACAGTGTAAGAACATTGTGGGAATGAAATGAAATGCTGAGTTAATGTAAAATGCACACTGAACAGCATAGTAGCATACATGACATACTTTATTCAGTCATAGATTTTATTGCTGTAAGATGTTCATTATGTGCCAGGGGCTGTCTTGATTCTCAGGATAACTCAAGAAGAAAGCAAAAAGTTTCACATTGTCAGAGGATGTGATGAGGAACATTCTCTGGTATCAGATGAAACTGAGCTTGGATTCTACAATTTCTTAATCTGTACAGTGGGCATAGGGTACATTGTGAGACAGTAGAAGAGATGCAGTGATGTAACATGTTGAGGGCTAAGTACTGATTGGCACTTAGTGCCACTTATCAATTTTATTAGTATTCTAGTACTAATCCTTCCAATGACACTGAAGACAAGATATTTTGGCATTTTATAGAAGAAAAACCTGGCTGAGGGGGATGAGATGCTTTGCCTGGATTGCAGAGGTGCACTGGAATGGAGTCAGGGCTTACTTAGGCCCCTGTCAGATTTGAGAATCTGAATTTTTATCCTGGATTCCCTTCCGTGTGAGGACACAGCCATTCTCTGCTGCCTGTGTTACTTAAATGAAGCTGGATTACTGTGAATATCTGTTGGCCAAGTGTCTGATCCAGGAACTGTACCACTGTGTATCTGTGCCTTGCTTAATTAATGCCATTTACTTGTAAGTAGAAAACTGCATCACAGTTTGACTTTACTGTAATATCCTGAACTTTCCAATTAATACCAGCTTCTCAAGATCTATTTATTGGAGATGGGAAAAATTAGGCAACAAAAAAGGGGCAATTTGGAGCAATGTTCTATAGCTAAACATGGGATCATCCAGAAGCCTTCTTCTCTGTAGATCTGAACTTGAATCTTGACGCTCCTATTGCTCTGAGTTGTGACTTTTCCATTTATCTCTATCTCTGATCTATTCCTCATTTCTCCCCTTCCTTCCTTCCTTCCTTCCTTCCTTGCTTCCCTGCTTCCTTCC